CTGCCTCCATTTAAAGCTATAAACTACTGTGCATGGTGAAGTCTTCCCTCAGTTCCTCAGTTTAAATAGATAGGCATAGTGAAGTCTTCACTCAGGTCCATCTCTTTCTCCCCCCCCTCCCCTTTCCTTTCTCCTCTCCCTCCTCCCATAAAAGATATAAATTACTGTCCACCATGAAGTTTTCACTCAGGTCCTCAGATACACATTAAATAGATAGGCATAGATATAAGCTACGCTACTGTCCATTGTGAAGTCTTCACTCAGGTCCGTCTCTCCCCCCCCCTTCATAACCCCACCTACTGTTTCACATGAGAATGTGAGGGAAAAGAAAAAAAAAAGCTGTTTGTCACCTCTGAAGCCTTTTAAAAAAACCATTGAAGTTGTCTAATTTTTTGCTAGGTTTTTAACTCTTAAGAATGGGATCTTATTGGGTGGCCTGTCCCCGAATCCTCCCTGGAGTAAGGAGGGAAAAACACACAGCATTAGCACCAAATAAAATAAATCCATTGGCCCCAGCTCCCCCCATCAATCCTCAAGGGATTCATGCTATCCAGATAGTCCTCAACTTACAACTGTTTATTTAGTGACTGTCCGACGTTACAACAGCTTTGGTAAAATGGACTGTTCTTCACTTATGACTGTTGCAGCGTCAAAATCCAGGCGCTTGGCAACTTATTTACCACAGCGTTGCAGTGTCCTGGGGTCAAGCGATCCCCTTTTGTGACCTCCTGACAAGCAAAGTGAAGGGAGCCAGATTCATTTAACAATCATGTGGAGAAAGTTTGTAAAATGGGCTCAAATGTGGTCGTAAGTCAAGGACTACCTTGTGACAGATTCTGCCCTCCATCCTGAAGACTTTGTCTCCATTAGAAAGGGATTCCCTATGATTAATCTTAATGCCCATCTGCAACCTGTTTTTTTTAAATGAATAATTGTGCGCAAATGTATAGCTTCTTTCTATCATTTGGTGAGCTCTGTTTGTGACAGAACCACGGTTTCCAGAATTCCAAACTTTAACTAGCATCTAGGTGACATCCAATTGGGAAAAACTGTTCTAGGGATAAAAGTTTATGCTGCTTCTGGGCCAGCTGATGAATGAAGACAGAGAGGTAGTGGAAGAATTGTTGCTTACTATAATTCTGTTTGAAGCACCCCACCCTCCCCCCATATTTTGTAACATGTAATGTCCAAGAATACTTATTAAGAGTGTCTCCAATTATATATGTAGCACTGCAACAGGGAGCATTGGAACCATAAATAAAAGCAGACAGGAATAAATTCTTAATTAAAAATGCATTAGGAATTACAAGCATAATTTACTAATGTGCATTGGAATAAATTTCCAACCGTAATATTTTTAAACATGGCATTAATAAATAATGGTAAACAGAATGTTGATAAAAAAAAATCTCCATAAATTAACTACAGTCCAACACGCCACGTTGTTAAAGAGTTGCTGGGAAATAAATTTTATCTGGCAGAAGCAGGTTTATTTATTTATTTATTAATACACAATTGCACAAGAAGGAAGAAGCCACTCCGGGGATGGGCCAGTTGGATTGCAAACTGGCAAGCTCGGAAATTTTTCTTCCAAATGCCTTAAATCCCAATAAATGATGTTACAGAAACGGGCCAGGAGGAATTGCCTCCGAGCATCCTCCAAGCAGGGCTTCGGTCGCGGGCGAGGCATTTAAGATCCCAGTTCATTTCCAACAGACTCTCCAGCCGCTGGATCAAAGCCCTTCCCGGGAGCAGCAGGCAGCAAGCGGGGCGTCGTGCATGGGCTTGGCCCCGCTTTGCATGGGTCCCAGGCAGGGGATGATGGGTTTTGGTCCTCCTGAAGGCCGGGACGGTGTGCTCAGTCCTGCTTCTGAACCTGGGAGGAGGCAACCCGGGCCGTGCGGAAGGGGCAGCCCTTGCAAAGGGTCGCCTCTCCCCCCACGAAGCCAAGCGGGGCCCGGCGGGTGGGTAAGCCGGCCCAGGTCCAGGTTGCACCGGGCAAGGCGAGACGGGCCGGCGGAAAGGCGGCGATGTTGCCAGGTGGCCCTCGGGAGGGCGCCTGCACGGCCGTGTGGGCAGGCGGGGGTCGTGGGAAGGCTGCCAGGTCGGACGCGTGTAGGACGCGAGGAAACGGAGAAAACCCAACCGAAGCGACAGCGACCGTCGCTATAGCAACCGCACACCACAGCGCAGGCGCACCGCCCTCCGCCTTTCGATGCCCCGCCCCGCCCCGCGTGCCAGTTCGAACGCGCCAATCGGAAGTTGCGCCGCGCCGCGCCCCGCCTTCCTCTATCACAGCCCTCTGGGATTGGCGGAAAGCGGCTCGTGCCCTTCCTCGGAGAGCTCCGATTGGCCCGCCGCGATTCACTCTCGGAGAAGGGGAGGGGGACCGTTTTTGCACTTGGCACAAGCGCGTCTCAGCGACCGTTAGTAACCGTTCCGAAGCTGCGTGTTGGCTGGGTCGAAAAAAAAACCAAACCGGGTCAGTTTTCGTTCCGCGGGACGTTAAAAGCGGCTCCCGGTTGTGACGGGAAGGGGGGAGGGGGAAGAAGGCAAGCCCATTTTCCCTCACTTTGCCCACGTGACGGGCCCCAACTCCTCCCTCACGCTCCCTTGGCAACAAGACGGCCTTCAGGAAAAGCCAAGCCGGGGCACCTTAGCCACGCCCCCAACCGGGCGGGGCTGAAACAGTGACGCGAGTGGGCGGGGCCATACCTCCCCACGCACAGACGCCAAGGGCTTCTAAAGCCGAGGAGGCGGGGGCTGGGGCGAGGGGGGCGGGGCCAGCAGAGGGCGTGGCCGGCTCTTCCTCGCGCCGAGGGGAGAGGGGAAAAAAAAAAAACAACCATCCTTACAGGTGGGAAGGCGGGGCCTGCGGGGGCGTGGCCGGGCGTGTCCCCCTATAAAAAGCCGGCCTCTGGCAAGCGCGGCCAAATCAGAGCGATGGGGCAGCTCGGCGGCGGCGCCGGGGAGGCGGGGAGGAGTACCTGGCTGCGGAGACAGGTAAGGGGCGTGGCTTAGAGGAGAGGGAAGGCGGGGCAACTTGCTGAAGCGGGCAAGGCAGCCCCACCTGCCGGACAGGAGAGCGAGGGACCGGGAGGGAGGGAGGGAGCGATCCGCCCCCTCCAGCCCTTGCCTGGCCGCGGGGCTGCGGAGGGCGCTCGGCATCCCTCTGGATCCGCCGCCGCCGCCGGAGCGTGTTCCAAAGTTCCGAGGGGGCGGGGCCTGGGAAGGGGGCGGGCCGAGGGGCGGGGCTCCCCATCCCCTCCGGTGGCTCTCGCCGCCGCTCGCCTCCTTCGCCGGGCGACACGTCGGCAGGGTGAGTGAACGGCGTTGGCAGCTTGTCAATCGCTCACCCCGACGGCGATCAAGCAACACAACACACACACACACACACACACACAGTCACGGAGCGGCCGGACCCATAAATTCCAGCCGGCTGATATATATATTTTTTTTTCCAGGGGCAGCTTGCAATTATTATTATTATTATTATTATTCTTTTTCTTTTCCCTCCCCCTTTTTTCTCTCTCCCCTTTCCCTTTTCCCTTCTTCCCTCTTTTTTCCCCCCTCTTCTTCCTTCCCTCCCCGTCCACTTTTCTTTTCCTTTGTTTAATTTTTTTGGGGGGGGTGTTTTTTGGTTTTTTGTTTTTTTGTGCCGTGCAGAAGTTCAAACTTTTTCTTCCCCCTTTTTCTGGCTTCTCTTCTCTCCGCAGCCTCTGAGCCCGCCGAGACCGAGACGCCGAGACTGCTGGTGATGCTTTTGTTTTGCCTCTCCGGCCGAAGGACGACTCTCTCCGCCCTGACCAGGGGGGGAAGGCGGCTCGCCCCCTGCCCGCCCCCCTCCCGCTTTTAAATGTGGCCCTTATCCAGAGCCGGGGATGCCCGCCGCCTACCTGCTGCTTGTTTTTTCCCAGAAGAAAAAGAGAAATTCCCTGGCCCAGGCTCGGCGTCGTAACTTTTTAAGGATTTGAAAAAAAGCCGTTCTTTTTCCTTTTTTTTGTCTTTCTTTTTTACATTTTGGGGGCTCTCGCTTTTGGGGCAGCACCCCCCCCCCCGCTCTGCCTGCTCCTCCTTTGTTTCCAAGAAGAAGAAGGAGAAAAAAAAAATCAGAGGAAGTGGAAAGAAGAGGGGGAGAGAGAGAGAGAGAGAGAGGAAAAAAAAAAAGCCGCACACACGCACCGACACACAGAGGAGCCGAATCCGAGTCGGAGGAAAGGACCCTTACAAGCCCGGCTCGCTCCTCCGCTCCCGCCGCCTTGGCTTCGGAAGGGGAAAGCCCCCCAGCCCAGACACGACCCTCGGGGAGCCGAAGAGGAGGAGGAGGAGGAGAAAAGAGGAGGAGGAAGAAAAAAACCCCGCGACTTTAAAAAGCCCCCCCACCCCCCGCGGCTGCTTCTGCAGAAGCCGGCCCCGATCGCCGCTGGAGCCCCGGCGGAGGCTGGAAGTCTAAAGAAGGGGAGCCAGAGCGGGCGAGATCAGCCTCCAGCCGGAGCGATGCCAGCCTCGGGGATTTAGATTTCGGCTCCCCCCTTTTTTCCTGGCTCCCTTCCTTTCCCGCGAGCGGCAGGACCCGCGCCTGGTTTACGGGGACTGGTTTACTTTCCCTTTCTTGCTTTGCCCGCTTCCCGGCCAAGGAAGGCTGCTTTTTTTTTTTTTTTTTTTTGCTGCCTTCCCCCCCCCTCCCGGAAAGAAAAACCTCGCTTTCTCCCTCTCCTTCTCTCCTTTCTCTCCTTCCTCAAATTCCTCTCTTCTTCCCCTTCCTCTCCTTCCTTATCGTCCATTCCCTCCTCCCTTCTCTCTCCTCTTCTTCCTATCTTTCATTCTCTCCTTCCTTCTCTCTCCTCTTCTTCCTATCTTTCATTCTCTCCTTCCTTCTCTCTCCTCTCCTCTTCCATTCTCTCTTTCTCCTCTCCTCTCCTTCCTTCCTTCCTTCCCTCCCCCCCATCCCCCCTTCCTTCTCCCGTCCCCAAAGTGCCATCTCCGCGGCGGGCAGCAGCATGGACGAGCAGTCGCGGATGTTGCAGACGCTGGCCGGCGTGAACCTGGCCGGCCACGCGGTGCAAGGGGGCATGGCTCTGCCGCCTCCCCACGGGCACGAGGGCGCCGACGGCGACGGCCGCAAGCAGGACATTGGCGACATCCTCCACCAGATCATGACCATCACCGACCAGAGCCTGGATGAGGCGCAAGCAAAGTTGGTCTCTTTTGCAACCAGCCGGCCAGGGGTGGGGTGGGGGAAGCTGCGGGCGAGATTGTCTGTGGTGTTGTGTTTTGTGTTTATGTATGTATGTGTGTATAGACAGATAGATACGCTGTTGATCTGCTGAGCTATTTTTTTTTTTTTTTGCTTGTTGTTTGCCAGCCTCCTGGCCCAGTCCGGCTGGGATTTAAAGCTGCTTCTCTTAAAGGCAGCCTGGAGATGCCAGGGGCGAAGGCATTGCACCCCCTCCCTCCTCAAAAGGAAAACCTCTGCAGGGGAAGACAAAATGGCAATCCCATTAAGTGAACCAGATAACCCCAGATTAGCATCCTCTCCGGGTGCCAGTTGTTTATGTTGCTCCATTGGGTGTGTGTGTGGGAGGGGGGGGGAAAGATTGACCCCCTTCCCAAATCCATAATCCTGAAGCAGAGCTTCCTTCCTTCCTTCCTAATACCCGAGGTCTTGAAAGATGGGGAGTAGCAACTTCCACACACACACACACACACACACACACACACACACCCATCATCTAGTAGACATACCTAGGAATGCCAAGGGGAGAAATGGCACCCCCAAACAGTCAAATCCTTGGAATGCTGAAGGAGTTGCATCTCTTCTTTTTTTAAAAAAACAAACAAACCAGCAAAGAAGTGGGCGCTCTCCTCGCTAAAGGAAGCATTGCAACCTAGCTCCAAATATCAAGCCAAGCAAGCAAGCAAAACAAAACAACAGCAAAATAAAATAAAATTGAAGACTCAAAAGTTTGTCTGTCTGAGGAATGGAGAGATCGTGTCTGTATGTGCAAATGATCTGAGAATTTGTTTGTTTATTATTGATTGAGGAGGGCCTGGAGTTAAGCTGTAGGCATGGCTGCTCACAGTTCTTCCAAAGGGTTGGGGAGGCGAGTTAGAGGGAAGCTTAGCCTGTTTGCCGCCCTCCTTCTGGGTCCTGGGCCTCCCCCAAACTCTGTGTTTTCTTTTCCTTTAGAAAATTGTGAACCTTGGGGGGGGACGACGACCGGGTTCTTGTTATTCTCAAAAACCCCTTCGGCCTCTACTCTTTTACTTCTCCTCTCCTGTCTGGAGTGTGGGTTCTCTAAATAAACATGGGCCTGCTGAGGAACATGGGAAGAGGGAGGTGGGGGGGCCGACATTTAATTAATTTATCTATTTTGGAAGCCTTTTACCAGGCCCTCCGTTCATACAAGACCGCCAAAGCCCGGAGTTGAACTCTAGAAGTTCCTTCTCCTTCCATAAATCATGACTGCTGATGGAGCCTGCCTTGACAAGCTGTGATTTATTTTCCCCAAGAAAGGAGCTGGGAGATATTTCAGGAGTGACTTTGGATTTGGGAATTGGGGGGGGGGACAGTTGAGAGACCCCCCAAACTCTGGGTAGTTGTTCCTAGTAGCCTCCCCTGTTTGACCAAGACCTCCCCATGTCCCACGCACCCTTCGATTCTCACCTTTGGGGCTTTCTCTTTGAACTTCTTCCTTCCTCCACCATGGAGCTCCCTTTCAAATGCCTCTTTTTAAGGGCAGAAAGAGTGCCCCTGCTCTGGGGAGGGGGGCGTGCGGCAGGATGCTTAAAAAGGAGGCCCCAAGCTTGTACTTAAGAAAAAAAAAAACCAAAGTCTTAGGACAGAAAGGGTGGCCTCTTCACCCCTCCACTCGGGATAATATATCTTTCCTTCCCTTTTCCTGGATGTTTATTTTCCCTTCCTCTCTCTCTCTCTCTTTTTTTTTTTGCAGAAAGCACGCGCTCAATTGCCATAGAATGAAGCCGGCTTTGTTCAGTGTCCTGTGTGAAATCAAAGAGAAAACAGGTAGGAGACCAACCCAGCTTTGGAGGAAAAAAACAAAACAAAAAAAAAACTAGGCCCTCGGCTCTCGTACCCTCATTCTCCCCCCCCCCCTTACCCCTTCCCTCCCTGGATAAACAGGGCCACAGACTTCCTTTCCTCAGCTCTGGGAGAAGCTGTGCTCAGAGCCGCAGCCATCTTTGATCTGTTCTCATCGGTTTGTGATCTTTAGGTCCCGAAGCTGGTGGAAAAAAACAGCCTTGCAAAGGTGGTGTTTTGCTCGCTCGCTCGCTCGGTTTTGTTTGGAACCCCTTTGCCAGTTGCAAAATGCAGTGAAAATGGAAGCAGGTTCCCCTCCCTGCCCTTTCTCTCCAAGGGTGAAAAGCACCACGAGTTCAGCTGGCTTTCTATTCTATATCTGCCTAGCTAGCTGCCTCTGCTTCTGAAGTAACAAGGGAGCTAATTACAATTACAGAAGGGCGGCTGAGCTAGGAATTTGCTGGATCCCCTCTGGTGTTTTAATTGTTATGCTCGCTGGCGAGAACATCTCGCTGCAATGCCTCCCTGCCCCTCTCTTCCTGCTTCGGATTTTCTAGGGGGAAAAAGTCCTGGTTGTTTCAGAAATGCTTTAGAGGCTGCACAAAACACCCTGGGAATTTATTTTTTTTTTTATAAAGGGGTAAATCAGACGTGGTTTCATCTCCTTGTCTGGGGGAGCCTTCCACACACAGTTTCGATCTCCCCCCAAATAGGGATAGGGAAGAAAAATTCTGCTCTGAAAATCTCAGGTCGATAAAGCCCAGGGGCCCAAGAAAGCAAGATTTGATATGCAGGCCAGTTTTCAGAGGCGAACAGGGTTCTTAATAAAGGCGCTGCCTGCTGTAAACTTGGTTTTAAAGCTATATTTTCATCATTCAAACTGCAAAGAGTTGGTCTCTTAGACTTATAAGTTGCCCCTCCTAAGGGGCAAAGTAGCAACACTGCTCGGGACCTGTGTGTTGCCGCCTGTGTGTTTTAAAAAATTTCTGTGGACTTCCTAGCGGGGTGTAACTCAAGGTTTGTTTGGCATTGTCTCGGTTGGCGTGACTAAATTCATGGGTGTATTCATGCATGTGTGAAATTTAAGTGAAGAGAAGAACCAAAACAACAGAGCACCTAATACAAGGGCTGGTGGTGATTTTCGCTGGAGCGCCTACGATTGCCAAAACTATATTCATTTTTCTGCGAGTTTACCTGTTTTGTTTTGTTTTTTTCTTTTAAATCAAACCCCGGAGAAGTTGATAAACTGTTTTCTAACATGTTGCATTATGTGCTGATAATGAACCTTTTTGTCATCTTCGTATTACCTCATGCCTAGAGTAAACGGTAGCATTTCGGGGTGGTTCTGCTTGCGGGGCGGGGGAGAGGGTAAATCCAAAGGAAAAGGTGGGAGATTGACCTAAAGGGATCCTTGTTGGAACTGAAACCCACCCAGTGAAAATCCTGTGAAGTCCCCTCGCCTTTCGGCCAGCGCTAAAAGGAATATCCTGTATCCCCAACTCTGGTAATATATTTACTGCCCAGTAAGCAAACTGGGTCACCCGAGCAGAATGTGGGAATTGCATGCTGGTGTTCCCTGCCCATCTCCACATTATTATTATTTTTTGAGCCGGGGAAATAAGAAAAACAAATGTTAGTTTTTAGGGAATGCTGTTTTTCCTGCTGTCTGGACTCTGCTTAGGTGACGATGTCTCTCCGGCTGCTGAGAATTAAGACCTGGGCTCATTTCGTGAGGGAGGGGGGCTTGAAAGTGGATTTTTTTCGAAGTGGGTTTACAGCCTGCTGGAAAAGAAGTGAGGTCTCGAATGCATGAAGGGCGTTTTTTGGACACCGGTGTGTTGTTCTTCCTCCTTTTCTATTCGACGCCACGCGTCTGTTTTGCTTGCTCCTGTTTTTCTGGCAATCCGAGGGCCTCTGAGTCCTTTACAACCGGGCACATCCCTGCTAACTCTGGCCCGTCGTGATGAATTCTCCTTTTTTTTTTTGCCAGCAGTTTAAATCTTGGCTGGGCAGAAAGGAAGGGTGCCAACCTAGAGAGACGTTGTTGCTTTTTAGTAGGAAAGGAGAAACTTTCCAGAAGGAGCTTGAGCGAAACTCCACGGCCCCCGTTGGGGTCCTGAAGGAAGACATTGCTTGTTTCGCTGTACTTTCTCCCCCACCCCTCTGTGAAATAGTCAAGACCTTACATTGGCATGTTTTTCTCTGGTGAAGAATATAGCAGTTCCACAAGCTTGGGAATGATTGTGAGTATTGCTATTCTGAGGGGGTGGTGCAATATTTATATGTTTACAGGTTTACTTGAACGGGTGGCCCTTATAAAGGGCGAAGCGCCCTTTAGTTGGAATATTATTATTATTATTATTTTGCATGATTGTAGTTGCTTCTTTCTCTCTGTCCTGCACGAGCAGGAGAAATCTCCCTTTTTGCTTTCTCTTGCTCAGTTTTTAAATCTTTCTTTCTTTCTTTCTTTCTTTCTTTCTTTCTTTCTTTCTTTCTTTCTTTCTTTCTTTCTTTCTTTCTTTCTTTCTTTCTCCTGGCGATTGCAGTCTATTGCATCCTACGCAATCACCTTTCTCCCCCCCCCCAAAAGAAGAAAATTAAGCCATAGGAAGAAAAAAAATCTGTTTTTGAGATTATTGATAAAATAATGGCGGCTACTTTTACTGCATGCACAGAAAGGGAAGACAGGGGTGTAACTGTTGGAAATGTGAGGGTTGGTAACTAATTTGGACCTGTAGGTGTAATTTTAGATTTATTTTATTTAGGCAGAGGTGGATCTGATAGCACAGCTGCCTTGAGTTGCAAAACGTGCTGTTTAGTTTGGGAATCCTTCTACGGAGCCCATATTATCTAGACTGCCCAAATGCAGCATTTTGTAAATGGAGTATTTGCCTGTTCAAGAACTCTGCTCTTGAGTTGGAGAAGTTCCCTTCATTGGAATCTCCACAATTTTAATGTGCAGCCCTCAACCCCGTGTTTAGAACAATGCTTTTTTTAAAAGTTTCTAAGCTCTACCTTTAATAGAGGTGTTTATTTATTTTTCCCCCATTTCCTAAATCCTGGAAGCTTAGAGGGAAAGGAAAGAGCTGTTCTGCCTTGCGAATATTAGCTTGCTGGGCTAAATGTTTTCCAAACATCCGTCTGTTGAAATGAGGAAGGTTATTCTGTAACAATCATAATAATAGTAATAATAATAATAGGCTTGGGCTGTTTTCTGCTGCCTGAAATCTTACAGTTAGAATTTTCCCTTCTAAATTGCTCTCCTTTGTGCTTTGCTGGATCGCGGTGGCGTCTTGTTCCGCAGGACCTCTTTGCCAGTTTGGGTTGTATTTCTCTTTTTAAGGAGTTTCCCCTGTTTTGTTTTTGTTTTTAATTCTGTCTCTTGCCCAACCGAAATGGCACGCATTTTCTGAAAAGGGTGTGCCGTTCGTGTTTCACCGGCTCTAAACCTGCCCGAGTGCTTCCAGCAGGAAGATCTCTGTTTGGCTGTCGTCGTGCTTTCTCTCTTTTTTTTTTTTTGCACAAGTTTGGTGTGCCTCTGAACACACAGCTGAAGCTGTGCATTGTCTCCTTTAAGAACCTGAGATGACAGCTGCCAACAACAACAACAACAAAAAAAAAAACCACGCTAATTGAAAGGCCAGCGCAAGTCTTAAATGGCTTTAATTCACTGGAAAGTCCTAATAATATACATAATGCCTCGCCAGAGTTGTAGCCTTTGTGAGGCTTTAGAAGCTGGGGACTGACTTGGAAGGATCGTAAAAATTAATGAACTTCTGTACCACAGGAAGGGAAGGGGGGGGGGGTGTGAGGAGAAGCAGCAGGGGAAAAGGTGCCTGGAATTGTATCCTGTTTCTAGGCTTTTTTAAAAAAAATAGGTTTTTGTTCTGGGCAATTAAGTTTTTGTTTTGCCCTCAGGGGTTGTGGGTGATCCATCTCTGGAGGCCTTTAAGAAGAGACTGGACAGCCATTTGTCTGAAACGGTATAGGTTCTCCTGCTTGATCCAGGGGGCTGGACTAGGTGACCTCCGAGGCCTCTTCCCACTCGGTTATTCTGTTATTCGCCATTTCCTCTCTTATTTAAGCAGCCCCATGTGGGGTTCACCTCCAGATGTAGGGGGGGGGAAATATCTGCCTTGTTGCTGTTCCCCACTCAAACTATTTTCTTGTGCTGAGAAAACGAAGGACGGAATTCAGTTGTTTTGCAGGATCCTTCATGGATAGAAATCCTCCGCTTATTCCTAACAATTCGGATCCTGTAGCTTTAAGCCCCTAACTTAAATTTTTCTTCTCCCACTTGTCGGTCGTGCCCAGTTTTCACGACACTCGGAGGTGGCCCAAAAACCCAGCCAACCCTGAATTGTTTTCCTTCCTTGCAAAGAAGGGAAACTAAATAACAACGTCTTTGTAGGCGATCAACAGAAAGAAGAAATTGTATAGGAAGTTTTCTGTATATGCCGGCTAAGGCTGACACCAGTTGTTGGCAAGCAAGGTTTTTTGGCAGTAAAATAAAACAACAGAAAGACGAAGGCTTTTGGAAGCTTGCCTTGTTTTAAACAAAACCGATGGTGGAATGCTCTGTTTAAAAGTAAATAGACTGTGACATATTGTGCAGCTGGTTTTTAAAGAGATTTTTGTGTCCATCTGTATGTTTTGAATAGTAACCGTTCTGGTGTCTCGGTTTAAAGAGCGGAGGCGTCGATTTGGTGCTTTGGGCTTTGAAATACCCCAAGTCTTGAGATTCTATCCTGCCAAATCCTCACCGAAAGAGAAATTATTCCATCTGAATTTGGGAATAGAATCCCGGGTCTTTTTCTCTCTGTGCCGATGAGAGGGGGGAAAAAAGTCAATTTTTGCACTTTCCCAATTGTTGCTCTTTTTTTTAATCCCTCTCAAAGGTCTGAAGCTTCATCGACTCCTTTCAAAGAAGTTTGAAGGTGTCTTTATTTTATTGCATTTGCCCCTGGAGGCACCGTGGTTAGTGA